CTCTATCTACCGAGCATCATCATTATCTTCAATTTCGGCTCCTTTAAAGTTTTCTGTGGAAGATCTAAAGGTAAACAATCAATTAAACTTACCCTTTTTTTTTAATTGTTAAATTTTCTCTCTTTTTGGTCCACATTATGTTTGAGCTTTGCATCTGCTCTGTAGGAAAATCTTTTTTGGTGAAAGTACCAAGCCCACCAGTTTTTTTCTTCTTATTTTCTTTAAATTGGGGCCAAAACAGTTTTTTTTTTCAACTTTTTGCTCGCACTGTGAACTGGACTGGTTGTGGGGTTAAGTTTCTGATCTGTGTATAATGTTTGCCTTTTTGGTTATCTGCTTGTTATTTTATGTTGCTGTGCTCTTGGTGTTGTGCTGATTAAGCTGTTTAGGTTAGGACTTTCTAGAAGAACTAAACAGACAATTTACCTTAACACAGCACATGGATTGATTCTAGTTTCCTGCATTTTCTCCCTTTCTCTCTGTCTGTGTGTCTTCCTCTCTGTTGTGTGTGTGTGCGTGTGTGAGAGAGAGAGATTATATTTTTTTCTTTGCTTTTAGGCATCTTGCACTAATGGAATTTTTATTTTCAATGGTCTTTCTTTATTTTTCTTTTTCTTTTAATGCCATTATAGGTACTTGAAGTTTTATTAGATCACCACCTTGCCTCATTTGCATTGTGTATTACAGTATTTTTTTCTTTTGATTAAAATTCTTATTGGAGTTAAAGATCTCATGTTATGAAAACAGATGGATGAGTCTGTGAAATCCTCCTCCAGACTGGTGGAGGTTTCAGTTTCTTTCGGTAGATTTGAAAATGATGTCCTTTCTTGGGAAAAATGGTCCTCTTTTTCACCAAATAAATACTTAGAGGAAGTGGGCAGTTTATCTACACCTGGATCAGTTGCCCAAAAGAAGGCATATTTCGAAGCACACTACAAAAAGATTGCAGCTAAAAAAGCCGAGGAAATGGAGCAGGAACAATCAGCTGGTCCCATTATTCGGACATTAAACAAGGAAGACAGTTTTGAAAATTCATCTGAGCCTGATAGTTGTCATGGTTTGTCCAATGGTGAGAAATTAGCCGAAGAATGTGCGACTGCAGAGCCAAATGCTTCCATTTTAAATATGAACAAAGATGAAAATAATGATAAATTGTCCGAGAGAGATATGTCTAGAAATTATAATATGAACAGTTTAATGGATGAGGTTAATTCACATGAGGAGAAAAAGGATATTATTGCTGTTGTCAAGTGTGAAAGCTCGAAAGTTGAGGAGGCTGATCCCGAATCGAATGTCAATGACGTGGATGAGTCTAAATCAGAAGTCAAAGCCGAAAAAGATTCTGTATCAGTTGAACCAGAGACTATTCCAAAGGACTCTCGAGGTGTAGTGGCAAAACGTCCCGCTAAGAAAAGTATCAGAGAACAACAAACAAGTGTACTGAAAAAGGAAAGTTCCAAGTCGAGCCCACGTAACATTACTCAAAAGGTGAAAACTGGAAACTTTTTTTTATGAAGGTGATAATATTTATCAAACTTATTTAGCTTCAGTTTTTTTCTTGATTATTTGTTTTGTGGTGTATAGGTAACCCCAACGAATAAGGAGAAATCTCCAGCTGTGGCGAAGAAAAAAGTTGCATCGCCAGTGACAAAACCATTGCATGCAGCAGCTTCTCGGTATTCAAAGCCAACATTGATGTCAACAACACTTAAACCAGCCTCTCAGTCTTCGAACAAGAAGACAAACGGATCCCCAATCCCGAAAAGCAATGACTTTTCGGTTGAGAAAGGCAAAAAAATTACACCCACATCATTGCACATGTCACTTAGTTTGGGTCCCACAAATTCTTTAGGAGGACTCCCTATTACAAGAAATTCTTTGATAATGGAGAGGATGGGAGATAAGGATATCGTTAAGCGGGCTTTCAAGACTTTTCAGAATCGTGCTAATGGATCATTAATGGCTGATAAGAAACCAAGTTCGGTGCAGAATGTATGCAGCTTAATATGTTGAATTCATTTTTTTTTTTCTTTCTTTCTGTTTGGTGCTATTGTACTTTCTATTCCATAAGGAGCGTGCATGAAGTTTTGATATTGATAAGACTATACAGGCTTCTTCTGCTGTATTGGAGCCAAAGGTCACGAGTTTTCGCACTCCAACAAAGGGGAAAATCGGGTAAAATTTATTTGTTCATCATTTCAAAATGATTTGCAAGTTTTATCATTTGATTGCTCAGTCTGTTTTTTTCATGCTGCGGGTTTAGATCTTTCATTAGAATAACTAGGAACTCAGTCATATACAGTTATAATTCTTTGAATGGTAGTAGCTAGTCTCCATGAGCATCTTCTTCTTCTT